ACCACTAGCAAGTGTCAAAGTCGACTTCTCGTCTCTACTTCTTCGAGATTAGACGGGATACTTGCTGAGTATACGTTATTTTCGTACTCATGCTACACTTGCTATGCATTTTTGTTGCACAGGTGCATGCATTTTCTAGTGGCCTAGTGGGCGTAGCAGCATGGTTGATATGGAGACTTAGGTGAGCTGCACTTCCCGAGGCGACCCGCAGCAGAGTCTCTTTTAGATTATTGTATTTACTTTTTGTTCAATTTGTATTCCAGATGGTTGTTGTATTACATTGCTTCCCACAGATAGCTCATACACTTGTGACACCGGGTTCTGGGATGATTACAGGATTGCTCAATATTAGTTTGGTTAAAATTTCATGGTTATTTCTGTAAATTTCATTATTTATTATTTAATATATAAAAAACGATTTCAACAAATATCAAAATTGGAATTTAATTAAGTATTTTGGTTGGCTTGCCTGATAGCGGTGTCCGGCGCCATCATGACCCTTAGTGAATTTTTGGGTCGTGACACCAACCAACCCGATAACACATAATACACCTGAACAAAACAATAGGAAGAAGAAATAGGGGAAATGGAGCGGTAACTCATGACACGACCGGCCGGGTCTTTACAGTTTACTTCATCGAAAAGCGAGGCGTTCCCCAGGATCAGTTTTACCCGTATACAACTGAATCTACCGCATAAATAAATGTATCGATATTCTAATCATGCATTCCCATAACTACAATCGTATGCCGAGAAAGAGACTTAAAAAGTGTTGATATCTTTGGGGTATTCATTAGGGTTGGGCGTTCGGGCAGTTCAGATTAAATATAGAATTTCGGTTGGTATTTTCGGTTTTTGGATTGAAGAAATAACAATCCAAATCCAATCCAAATAAGCTAGGATTGGACCGGATTTTTTAAGTTCGGTTTCGAATTAATCGGGTTGGATATTTTGGATTTTCGGTTTTGAGCTTATAAGTTGACATGTTTCTTCTTTTTACAAAAATTAGTATCCAAATGAATTACTCATATTAAATTGCCTGAAAAAGTTACTCATTATGACCGCAATCATCCAAATAAAGTATTCAATTAATGAAATTACTATCAAGAAAATACAACAAAGACATTAATACGGCTTATAAGAAGCAGTAATAGTAAAACCATGTCCAAATAGAATGTATTCTAACAGTATCTTAGTAACTAATATTACATATATGAAATAATATCTAATGGATAGGGTATTTAACTTATTATTATTGACATATAGATAACGTACGAAATATAAAGTATAAAATATTTGGATTTTCGGATATCCAAAAATCCAAAGTACCAAATCCAACATCCAATCCGAAATCCAAATATTTTAAAATTAAATCAAAAATCCAATCCGTAATCCGAAAATTCAACCAAAAATTTAAAAAAATCGGATTTCGATTTGGATTTTTGATTTGCCCAAACTATGCCCACCCATAGTATTCATTAAGTTAAGATGAACTAGACCCGTGTACTCTATTTGGAATTGAAATCAAACTTTTCTTGTAAACTATAATGCGCAAACTTTGAGGATACCCTTATAAGTTGAACTCCTTGGCTTCATTGGAAATAAGATCATAGGAAGTAAGAAGTCCACTTTTGTTTTGAAGAAACAATAAGTGATTCTTCCAAATTGTTAATGGGGATTTGAATGGAGGAGGTCTAATTATGTATTTCTTAGTCCATGAATCACGTATACCGTAGTCCATCATTATCCATACATCCATTGAATCTTGTGTCAGATCAGTCTCGGTATATGAATCGGGGTAACAAATTAATGTTAGGGACTCATTCAAGATTACAAGGCTATAATACTTCCCATCGTAGTCATTGAAAGAATCAGGCATCATCATGGTGCGAAATATCTCAGTACTCATGTCAAAAGAAAGAATTACCATTGTGTCAACTATATTTGCATACCAATGAAAGGCTCATTTATGAAAGATCTCGAAATGTGGCAACCAATGAACTTTAGGAAACTGTTGACCCACACGGAATTCTCTCCAAGAATCAGTGTACAAATCATAAACCTCAACTTTTTGATCTATCACATCCGGAGACCAATCAGCATCCTTAAAAACTTCTAAAATCCTAATCAACTTGTAGTCTTTCCCGATCCAATCAAAACCAAACCCATCACCACCCATAATGGAGAGATTCAAACCCTATGCACAAACAAAAGGGCTAGATGGGAGTGGCATGTAATTTCTAGTAGCTGGTTTTAATAAGATAATAACTTCAAAATTTGTCAAAGCAAGTAAACCATTGCAAGGGCCGACTAGTTCATTATACGCATAGTAATAACTGAAGGTCAGATATGGCGGATCTAGATCTGTAAAGATGGAGTTAACATCATCGTCATTATCACTGTAAATAATAGATATGACATTTTTTAATCCGTGAGGTTCTACTTTGATGGAGCTACTGAAAAGAATGAATTCATTTTTTCTGGTTGTAGGGCGATTAAGATGAAGATTGATAAATGTTGAGGATTGTACGAGAGTATACCAAGTTCTGGAGATGCATTTAAATCGTATAAGAGATTTCACTGTGAACTTCAAAAGTATATCAATTACCACATCTTCAGGCAATTTTTTCATAATTCCATCTACCATCATTAATCTCTACAATGCAATGACGAATGATGTTTCTTTGTCCACTAAAAGCTTTAACATCTCAGTAATATCATCCTATGAATTGGATGCAAATGCTTATTACTCACATATTTAACTCCCTAATAAATTAGCTGCCAAACTTGTCGTTGTGATTTGAGTGTTTTACGGTGCAACATTTTTCGTTTAGATAGAGTTATTTTATAGCTTGTTTGGATAATTGACTCATTATTCTTTAATGTATGACATAGTAGATTCTATTTTGAAAATAATATTGGGGTAAATTCGTTTGCCTCACGTAATCAAACGCACAATTACTTGTATGTGTCAGATGCATTCATATATGCTCCTAACTTTTAAGCAGAAAATGAATAATTGCATGAACTTCTTGCTCATTAGACAATTTATAACCCTAATTTGACCACCGTAGTCCTACCATACTTAGTTTCAATAATATCCCACGGATATTTGATAATCTTGTGAGTAGAATGCCATGTGACACCTTTACTACTCAACAACGTAATGTGATCCATGATATTATAACAATCCAAAAAATACTGTTCTTCTAGCACATATTACAATTCAATATTTTAATATTTTTTGATTGTTATCCTTGAGCTTTTCAATATATATATTATTTATATTTAGAATAGATTATGAATTATTACACCATGTTTTTTGATGACAAGGGCCCCTCAAAAAAGGATTATAGAAGAAAGCACTGTTAAACATATTTCTCGAAGAATATCAATCCTTTTTTGAAGGGCCTAAATGGTTTTTATAGAAACTTTAGGAATTGTCCATTTATTTAATAAATCAAGGTTTTGAGGTATTAATATTAATTATAAATATATGATAACTAATTAATGTATATTCACGAAAAATATATATCTTAAATAACAAATATAATATTATTCGTACTTATTTTTTTTAAAGTAATCCACTAGGCATGGCCTAGGGCTAGTTTTTATTTATAATAATTTAAATACAAAATGTGCAAATAATCTAACAAATATAAAAAATAATCCTTGCATATTACATTTACCCTATTATCAAAATTGAGTAATGTACTCAAAATTGATATCACAAAATGATCACTAAAACTTGCATAAAAAATTAGCCCATGCGAGCGGGCCGAATCATTTGGCCCAAATATGGTCTTCCATTGCATAGCAGCCCAGCCTAGCGTAACACATAGGTTGCATGAATAGCCACACTCCATTTTCGCTTCCTTCAATTGCAAAAATAGCCACTTTAATTATATCGTTGNTAATTTACTCAAAATTGATATCACAAAATGATCACTAAAACTTGCATAAAAAACTAGCCCATGCGAGCACATAGCCACTTTAATTATATCGTTGCTACTGTACACGTGTTGCCTTGCATGGATCCATTTATAACCTTCTTTGTTGCATTTAATCTTCGTCATTGTTGCATTATTTTCACGTGATTTCCAGGCAGACCCACCTTTGATTAAATTTTTCCCATGTATTTGTATTGGTCTTAGATAGTTGCATTCACCCTTGAGCCAGGAGTGCATAGTGTCATTGCATCTCTTTGATCTGCACGTCACATTTTCATCCCTAATGAGCGTGCAAAATCCATGTGAAAGCATGCGTGCATTTAAGAATCAAAAGGATGTAATGACTTATTTCCAGCTTAATCATGCGTGGATTAAAATCCAAGATTCTTGTCCAGCAGAACGCAGCATGCCATATTTAATTATGGTAGCCCATGTTCATCCCATGTGCGTGCATTATAGCATTATGTTTAGTGTTTCTCAGCTGTTGTCTCGACAAGAAAAACCATGTCCACAACCAGCGTGCATCTGTCATGGTAATCAGCACTTCCACATTTTGAGGTCCAAGACGCATGGTTACCAATGCAGATTCCCGTGCAATCAGTCCCAATGAGCATGTGTGCATTAAAATAATAGAATGTGAGTGTCCCAAAATAATTGTTGAGCAACTGAATTTTTCATTACTGTCCAGCACCTTTTTCCAATAAAATTGGGGAACACACAATGGCATGCCTGTCTCTTTTATGATCAGCATTTGCTCTAAAACTTTAAAACGTTGCATGATACCTCCATGCCTCACTGTGTAGCCTTCAACTAGGCGTGCCAAAAGGTGCACGGCTACACAGTTTTCAAAGGTTCTTGGTATATCCTTTTTCAGTGTGCCTTGAAACCACCTTGTGTGCCTAATGCCCATGCTCACCTTTTCATCAATTTCACGTGCCCTCCATGTTTGTGGAGTTTCTTTACACTTGAGCTGCCATGAAAAGATGTTTGAAAATATGCCAAAGCTCAACTTTAATGTCCTCTCAGTAGATTGAATGTAAAGCATTAATACCACCACTTGAGATTCTACTATAAAATAATATTTTAGCATCAATGAAGTACCTACAACAAAGTAAACAATGTTAGCGTTAAAATTGCCAACCTACCTCTCCTCAAGAATGATTCGAGCCTGATAGCAAATTGAATCCTATTTTCCTCCTAGTTTCTTGCAACATTCACTCTTATGTAAGGACATTGCATCTTATCTTCGTTAATAATCCTCCTTCCTTTTGAGTCCATATCCCAGAAACCATGACATTCAATATTTCCTTAGTCAAGAGCATAATTGGCAAGGTGGTCTGCTAATGTATTCCCTTCTCTGAATATTTTTGTGACCTTGATGATACTTTGTTCCTTCAATCTTAAAATCTCATCAACATGATCAGTAATACACTAAAGAGGCTTCCATGATTCCTCTATAATGTTCTTTAATAGCAAGGAATCTGTCTGCAGCCATATCTGAAAATAATTAAGATTTTTGCACATCTTCAATGCATCCACAATAGCTACTGCTTCTGATTCATTATTGGTTCCTTAAGAAATATCCCTTCCTTTTGCATATATCAAATCACCTACCTCATCCCTTATGCAGAAACCAATTGAACTCCTCCCTGGGTTCCCTCTACATGCTCCATCTATATTTACTTTGATCCACCCTCTTGGAGGAAATTCCCATAACACCTTTTCATATTTCAATCGAGGTGTGTATTTCTCCATCATTGTCAGTAAGTCCAGCCACTTGTTAGGAACATGCAGTCCAGGTTTTTTTAGTTGGACTAGAGCTTGCATAGTAGATGACACCTGGTAAATAACTCTGCTCACTGACACTGCTTCTCCATAGTTGAAATTGTTTCTTCTCTTCCAAAGTTCCCATACAATGCATGCAGGTAAAGCTTGTAAGACTGGATTCAATCTAGGAACAACTAGTGTTGTCCAACACTTTATAATTGCTTGTTGCAATGATAACCCTTCTAATGCAATTCCTGCTCTCCTCAGGAAGTAATTCCAAACACTCCTAGCAGCATTGGATGTGAAGAACAAATGTACTAATGACTCCTCCTTGGGATCAGCACAGCACCAACATTTTGATGGCATAGAGTATCATATTTTATGCAAGAAATCACCAAGTGGCAGTTTGGCTTTCCACACCTTCCACAGGAAGAAGGATATCTTGAAAGGTAAGCCTTTGACCCATATCATCCTGTAACCTAATCTTGAGTTTTCTCTTCTTCGCAGGTAATCCCATGCAGACTTCACTGAAAAATGACCTCTTATTTCAACCATCCAGAATGGTGTATCTAACTCTGCACACACGTTTGGTGGTTTAATATTCTGCACAATGTGGTTTGCCAAATCTTCAGGTAGAGTCTGAAATATTTTTTCCAAGTTCCACATACCATTTTCAACTAGATCATTGACATTTTGAATATCCTCATCGATACCAAACTCTGCAGACACATGGAAATATAAGGCTCCCAGCTTAGTCCAATTGTCCAACCAGAATTGAGCTGATCCCATTCTCGGTTTCCAGTAGATTTGATGCTCAATCAAGTCCCTACATTCTAGCATTTTTCTCCACACGTGGGATCCATGCTTCCAAGGTACAATTACTGGATTTAGTTTCTTGCAGTACTTTTGACTAATAAATGCACTCCATAAACTGCGCATTGTCTTGAAATTCCACCATAATTTACAGAATAGTGCCTTGGATACATCATGTACGGACCTGAAGCCTATGCCTCCCTCCTCATAAGGCATACAAAGGTTTGTCCACGATGACCAATGTTTAGAGTTGCCTCCCACATTGCTGCTCCAGAAGAATTTGGCAAAAATGCTATGTAATTTATTGATCACATAAATTGGTGGATTAACTGCTGACAATATATGAATTGGGATACTCTACATGACATTTGCGATCAATACAGCTCTGCCTCCTACGAATAGGAGTTTGCCTTTCCACGACTGCAGTTTGTCCATGACCTTAGTGATTAATCCCTAGTAATAGTCACTCTTTCTTCTTGCATAAAATATAGGGCATCTAAGATAGGTCATAGGGAAACATTGTCTTCCTATACCTGTAATCCTTTCAACCTTGTTAATCACCTCATTATCAGTTAAATGATGCAGGTATATGGCAGATTTGGCTTTGTTCACCAGTTGACCATAAGCTTGCAAAACCTCCATGACAAGTCTCAGTAAGTTTTCATCAGATGAGGAGAAAATGATTGTATCATCAACGTATGAGAGATGATTTGTTTTTTGGCTCCATTTTGGCATTTCAAATCCACAGAAATACAGGTTAGGTGTAGTGAATTCAATCCCCGAGACATTGCTTCTGCTGCTAGAATGAATAAGCTTGGTGACAAAGGGTCACCCTGCTTAACTTTCCTCGAAGATTTGAAGAAATCATTTGGCTTCCCATTTATAAGAATAAAGTACCAATTATTCCCAATCAAATCAAAGATCAATCAAATAAACGCTTCAGGAAATCCCATCTTCCTTAGCGTTTTGGTCAGGAATAGCCATGATAGCCTATCGTAAGCTTTTGTCATGTCTAGCTTAATCATAACATTTGGGCCTACTTTTGTTCTCAACCTGATATCCGTAATGATTTCTTGAGTTAGCAGTACATTCTCAACTATACTTCTTCCCTTCACAAAACCTGCTTGTTCCTGTGAGATTAAGTTAGGTAAAAATTCAACCAACCTTTCATGAATAACCCTCGAGAAAATCTTGTTAACAAAGTTGCTGAGACTGATTGGTCTCATGTCTGCAAAGGTCATAACTTGTTTTTCTTTGGTAATAAAACCAGGTTTGTGTGTGTCACACTCTTTGGCAATTGCTGACCGCAAAAGAGAGCCTTAACCATGCCTACTACATCTTCTTCAATGATTTCCTTCATTTTTGGTAAAAGGATCCAGTGAAGCCATCCGGTCCACCTGCTGAGTCCCCATTCAACCACATAACTGCTCTCTTCACTTCTTCATTGGAAGTCAAAGCCATCAATCTTTCATGTTGATCACTCTCTACCATTGAAGGTACATGATTGAGAATATCAAAAGCATTATGAACTTCACTCTCAGTAAATTGATCCTTGTAGAACTTTAGTGCTTCTTCTGCTATTAAGTGATCTTCTTCAATCTAGTTGCCAAGGCAATTCTTGATCCTTGATACTTTCAGTCTCTTCCTTCTCCCATTAACTTGAGCATGGAAGAATTTAGTGTTTCTATCGCCGTCTTTGAACCATAACATGCCTTCTTTTTGTCTCCAGAATTCTTCTTCTAATGCAAGATATTTAATCATTTCAGCTTGTACCTGTTGTAATCATTGTCTGTTCATCTGTGTAGGATTGACTTCAAATTGCCTTTCATGAACCAAGACCACCTCCTCCAGGATTGCAATCTTCTGGAATATATCCCCATATGTAGCTCTGCTCCAGGTAGATAGTGCTTTCTTAAGCTTCTTTAACTTGTAGTTAAAAATGCAGAAATGGTTAGCACTAAAATCAACATTCCAATTCTCCTTTACTACATTTTTGAAGGTTTTATGCTTAGTCCAGAAGTTAAGAAATCTGAATGACTTCTTAATTAGAGGAGTTTCTATATCACATTTCAGCAGCATTGGGCAATGATCTGACCCAATTTTGGACAGGTGAGTTACTTCAATCCCGGAAAGGTCTGTTGCCATTCATGATTGCCAAAACATCTGTCCAATCTTTTAAAAATACAATCTTCCTCTGATCTTCCATTCCACCATGTAAATATGCTTCCTTTAAATCCCAAATCTGTCAAGTTGCAGGTATTGATGCAGTGCCTAAAGTCATCTACTTCAATGAGAGAAACTGGTAAGCCTCCAAATTTCTCTTCCTCATCCCATATCACATTAAAGTCGCCTCCAACTAGCCATGGTACTGTCATATCTGATGTCATTGCATACAAAGAATCCAATAGTTCAATTCTTTCAATGCGATCACATTTGGCATAAACTAGTGTAAGGATGAGCTCAACATGTGTTTCAGTGTGCGTTAATCTCAAAGTCTATTGTTGAGTCATGTTATATAGAATAGTAACCTTAGATATTTCATCAATAAAAGCCCAAATCTTGTTTGATACATTTACCACAGCCTGTGCCAAACAAATTTTTGCTCTATACCTCTCCATTTTGTGAGACTGTTGCATAGGCTCAAGGATTCATATGAACTCGAAGTGATGTTTTCTGTGCATTGTAATCAGCCTTTCAAATGCTTTCATTGTATTTACTGACCTGACAATTCCTATAATTGCATCCATTAAATGTTTTGGGGTTTGGATAGTGTTCTCCTTGTTTGTACTCCACTAGCTGGGACAGTAGATGTCTGTTTTGACTGTTTCTTTTTTCCTTTTGTTGCAGATTTTACTATATCAATAAGCCTTGGCGAGAGATAACCCTGCTTGGCAACATTAAGGAAATTTTGTGTAGTGGATTCCTCATCCATGTCTCTACCTTTAAGTTCTGTGTGGCCACCTTGGTCATGTGCTTCTATTGCTTCTTTTGATGTCACAACATCATATGCCTGATTGGTAAGTTCAGCATCTTTTTCCTGATTGGTAAGTTCAGCAGCTTTTTCCTCATGTTCATTGGTCAAAAGCTATGTATTACTCGATGGAACAACACTTCCTGCTACATCCTTCACTATGCTCAATGGTACAACACTTCTGGCATAGACTTGCACTGTCTTCTCTTGGTTCTTGTCTGAATTTTTCTCTTGGTTCTTGTCTGCATTTTCAGCTTCTTTCAAGACATTACTAACATCATTATGTAAAGTCCCTCTTGGATCTATAATATTTATGTTCCCCTCTTTTGTCTTTTCTGCTGCTGCATTTGTGCATTCACTTATGCTTTGAATATTAATTACATTGGCATTACAATTAACACTTTGATTCTCATCTTCCACTTCATTTCCTCCAATTTCTTCTTCACTATGCATTATATCTGGAATCTGCCCATCTGCTAAGACTTCCTCTGTTTGGTTGATCTATAATCTCCCTCCTGCCCATTTATCTTTTTCATTGGTCTTGAATTTCTCAAAATCTGTATCTTCAATTAAGTCATTCTCTTTATTGTTTGCTAAATATTGTTCAACTTTGGTGTCCTGTGAAGGAATGTCTTGACATGAGGTATTGACCTGAACTACATTATTTTTGAATGCTTCTTGCACCCATTGGGCAGTTGAGTAATTGTCAAAATGCTGATCATTCCCCAAATCTTGTTGTACACAATCTGCTGTTGATTCCCTATTTGCTACATGATTTCTTATTGTTGTAGGATTGAAAGTAGGTGCTGCAGGGTTTAGTTTCTTTGGTTCTGACATAGCTAATGGTCTCCTAGATGAACTAGGTGAATTTACCTTTTGTACTATTTGTCTAGTCGAAAAATCAAATTGTAGCTCTTCTGACTCATTCTCCACCACTGTATGAATATTAATGGGGTCTGCATTATTTTCAGTCACAGGAATTATGGACTTGGAGACATTTTTTTGGACAGCACTGTTAATGAGCTGATTTGTACAAAGTTCTTCACTGTTTTCCACTTCTAAACATGCAAACTTGTTTGTTGTCTGAACCTGCTATGGAATTCCTTTTTGATTGTTTACAGCCACGATTTCTTGTCCAGTATTTGCTAAATCTGCTGCCTGCTTCTCTTTTGCTTGCACTCTCCTATCTTTGACCTCCTTCCATTGAGCAACTTGATTGCCAACAACTTTACCACTTGAAAGAACCATTATTGGAGCATTGTTAGTTTTGTTATCCTTGTTGGGCTGCACTACAGCATTAGTTGAAGCCTTCTTTTCATCATTTCTGCTAGCCATTAGTTCAGGATGAATTTTCCAGCATTCGAACACATCATGGCCCTGAAGCTTACATTCCTTACAATACTTGGGTAGATAGTCATATGTTATAGTCACCCACTCAGTTCTAATATCTCCAGTAGGCTCATTAACAATGTCGAATCGAACCTTCGTAGGTAGGTCTGCTAGCAGGTCCACCAACACTTTCACGCGAGCACAACTAGGTCTAGTTTTCTTGACAGTAGCCAAGTCCAAATGGAGGGGTTTACCGACTGCAGAAGCTAGGGAGAACAAGTATTCTCTTACAAAATAAGTAGGCAGCAGATTAGGGAATGCGATCCACTCAATTACCTTAGGAGTCTCTTCGTCAACTTTAAATTTAACATCATAAATCAATGTTCTTAATTGATATTCATCTCCAAGCTTATCCTTTACATAATACACACCTTTTGACGAGAAGTCTACATAATCTTGCCATAATGAAAAACAAATCAAAATGTGCCTATCACGTAGATATCCAATGTTGCATTCAACTTTGATACCACACTGTAAAGGAACAATACAATATATTTCATTGATATCTGGCCATCCGTATGAAAATTTGCAAACAACAGCCTATTGCAAACCTTCCATTAAATTCATGCGTTCAACTTCTGCTTAAGAAAATCGTACAGTTGGTTGTCCTTGAAATATATGGGCTTGTCTTGGAGGAATTGGCTCAACTACTGTTGCACGTTCTTGCATTGTCGAAGTGTTGTTCGTAGGTTTTATAGCATTTGCATAGTCCATAGGTTTTGTGCCATTAGAAGGATGGGTGATGTTGTGGGGTGGTTGTGGAGGTGGCCCAACGTGAGAGGGTGGCTGGCCACTAGCCATAGTAGCCATGGCAGCACTACGTGACAATCTTCCCTAAATCAACCCAGAACACTAAGGACGATTCTAATACTACAAGGAGTTCTTCAAAATCTGGAAACTTCGCGTGAAAATTGTAAATCACTGAAGAAATGTGATGCTACATTAATAGTATCCAAAATCTAGATAGAAAATCTGCCAGATAATTCACCAAGAGAGATGTCGTGCTACAGTAATTTTCGAACTCAACTGATAATCAGTAGAATTGTTATACAAGTATATAGTTTTTCAACAAACCAACACTTGAGCTTAGAGCATAACAAATTCACATTACAAAGTTGAATAACGAAGCAGTTTGAATGAAATACCTCGATGCTGCAGTAACTGGAAAAACTAGAATTAAGATCTGTAGCTTTTTGATGTAGAAATCAGTGAAAAAACAAAGGGAGGTTGTTTGTGATGAGAATGGTGTTCTTTTAAGACCAATTTTGTAGTGTTCCCTCGCCGGATGAAAGAGTTATGGCCGATGAATATTGACGGAATCACTATTCATGGTCTTCTTCATTTTGCATTCATTCGTACTTTTTTTTGGCAATCCGCTAGGCAAGTGCCTAGGGCTAATTTTTAGTTATATAAAATATGCAAAAAAACAATAAAGTGCCTTAATGTTCTACGAAATGTAAAGAATAAACCTTGGAGATTACATGTACCCTATTATCAAAGTTGAGTAGTATACTCAAAGTTGATATCACAACAACACTACTAAAAATTGTATAATAAAAACTAGTCCATGAATGGATCCGTGATTCATTTAAAGTCGCATTTGCTGCTTTGCACATTACCATGTGTGCATGTGCAACCTTAATCTTTTGAGGTCCTCATTATCTTCCCCAAGTGATTAAACAATTATCAATGTTGGTTCCTCCCATGTGCAGCCATTGTGCATCCAATTTGAATGATTTTGCACCATGGTTTTTTGAACAAATAATTGTGCAAATTATCCATTGTTTTCCACCATAAGCATGTGCTTTCCTTTGAAAAAAGAGCTGCTGCATTTATTGCAGGTGTGCATTTTATGCAATATTTTAATTCCCATACCTCTTGGAATCTCCCCTTGCACACTCCCATGGAGACACACATCTCGAGCTGTGTATATAAAGCAAAGTGAAAGTTGTTCACGCGTGAGTTGTGATCCTCGAAAGTGAAAGCTGTTCAAGCTTGAGCTTTGTTATCAGTGAATCACTTTTATGATTCCCCATGTGCATGCCTTCCTATTCTATCGAAGAACAACTCCCCATTTGCGTCAGATGGCGAAAAAAGTGAAAACTTGCATTGAGCAGCTGCATTTTTGCCTTTGTTGATTGAAGCCTCAATGCCTCTACGCTCCAGCACGTCTTTAGAGACAAGCTAGCCCATCAGTACTGTTCCACAAAGTTAAAACCTTGGTAATTTCCACCACGCCTGAGTTCTTTTTATTTCTATCGAGTCTGATTCCTCGATTCTTTCCCGTTGCTTATATTTTATTCTGTAAATGAGCACGCTTGTGTCTACCTTCAGCTTTCTGTCTGAAAAATGAGTGTACATCACTAACACTACCAACTTTGAGTCCGCAAGAATAGGGCTTTAACACATAATGTGTACCTGCAAGAAGGTAAACAATGTTAGCTTTAAAATTTCTTACCAAACTCTCCTCAAGAATGATCCGAGTATGGTAGAGAATTGTATCCTCTTTTCCTCCTAATTCCTTGCAACCTTCACTCTTATGTAGGGACATTGCATCTTATCTTCATTAATAATCCTCCTTCATTTTGAGTCCATATCCCAGAAATCATGACATTCAATATTTCCTTCATCTAGAGCATAATTAGCAAGGTGATCTGCTAGTGTATTCCCTTCTCTGAATATGTGTGTGACGTTGAAGATACTTTGTTCTTTCAATCTTAAAATCTCCTCTACATGATCAGTAATACACCAAGGAGGCTTCCATGATTCCTCTAAAATGTTCTTTAGTAGTAGGGAATCTGTCTGCAGCCATATCTGAAAATAATTAAGATTTTTGCACATCTTCAATGCCTCCACTATAGCTACTGCTTCTGATTCATTATTGGTTCCTTCAGAAATCTCTCTTCCTTCCGCGTATATCAAATCACCTACCTGATCCCTTATGCATTAACCAATTGAACTCCTCCCTGGGTTCCCTCTACATGTTCCATCTGTATTTACTTTGATCCACCCTCTTGGAGGAAATTCCCATAACACCTTTTCATATTTCAATCGAGGTGTGTATTGCTCCATCATTGTCAGTAAGTCCGGCCACTTGTGATGCACATGCATTCCAGGCTTTTTCAGTTGGACTAGAGCTTGCAGAGTAGATGACACCTGGTAAATAACTCTGCTCATTGACATTGCTTCTCCATATTTCAAACTGTTTCTTCTCTTCCATAGTTCCCATACAAGGTAAAGCTTGTAAAACTGGCTTCAATCTAGGAACAATGGGTGCTGTCCAACACTTTGTAATTGCTTGTTGTAATGATAACCCTTCTAATGCAATTCCTCCTCTCCTGAGGAAGTAATTCCAAACACTCCTAGCTACATTGGATGTGAAGAACAAATGTACTAATGGCTCCTCCTTAGGATCATCACAGTACCAATAGTTAGATGGCATGGAGTATCCTATTTTTCGTAAGAAATCATCAAGTGGCAGTTTGGCTTTCCACACCTTCCACAGGAAGAAGGATATCTTAAAAGGTAATCCTTTGACCCATATCATCCTGTAAGCTAATCTTGGGTTGTCTCTTCTTCGCAGTTAATCCCATGCAGACTTCACTGAAAAATGACCTCTTGTTTCAAGCATCCAGAATGGTGTATCTAACTCTGCACATTCGTTTGGTGGTCTAAAGTTCTGCACAATGTGGTTTGCCAAATCTTCAGGTAGAGTCTGAAATAATTTTTTCAAGTTACACATACCATTTTCAACCAGATCATTGACATTGTGAATATCCTCATCGATACCAAAGTCTGCAGGCACTTGGAAATATAAGGCTCCCAGCTCAGTCCAATTATAGAACCAGAATTGAGCTGATCCCATTCTCGGTTTCCAGTAGATTTGATGCTCAATCATGTCCCTACATTCTAGCATTTTTCTCCACATGTTGGATCCATGCTTCCAAGGTACAATTACTGGATTTAGTTTTTTGCAGTACTTTTGACTAATAAATGCACTCCATAAACTAGGCTTTGTCCTGAAATTCCGCCACAATTTACAGAATAGTGCTTTGGATACATCATGTAGGGACCTGAAGCCTATGCCTCACTGTTGATACCCAATTTTTCCCTATGTATTTTATACTCAAAAAAATTTCAAAATAGCATGTATATGCATATATAAGCATCCCCATAGGTTTTGGTATTTTTCCCAAATTCTTTAAGATTTTTAAAACCAATTTATGGCCTATTTTTGCACTATAAAATCCAATAATTATTCCCATAACTTATCATTTTGGTAAATAAGTTATTTTTTTCTCACATTTACATCAAAATATAATTTACACGATTTCTTCATAATTTTACAAGTCCATTTGTTATTTTTAAAACTAAAATTGCATGAAATTGCAATTTTAGCCTATTTCTCGATTTAATAGCATTTTTAATCACAAAATCATTTCTAAAATTTTTAAATTAGTACTTCCATATTGTTTATCAACTAAGTATTTTTAATTTGATTCTAAACATCATTTACTATTTTTGTAAATTCATAAAGGGAAAATGGCTATTTCAATTGCAGCCCATTTTACTTTCAATTCTAGCCCAATTTCGACCTCAATTAACCCCAATTTTAAACCCAATTTCAACCCATTTCAGACCAACCCATATCCCAATTAACCCGACCCACAGCCCGTTTATTTTACCCGTCCGGCTCCCC